GTGCCGGTTCGCTGTACGTTCAACTGAAGTTTAGGGGTGTCGTGCGCTGTGCAGAAACTGCCTGTAAACATAATCGGCCTGTTTAGGGTTTTTATTTATTGCTCTATCAAAAATAAGTATTTTAACATACCTTACATTTTTTGTACCGTGTTACTTGCAACATTGCGGTCCCTTTGGCCAAAACTGCGCGTTCTAAGCTCTCGTCACGAACGGCTGGCTAACACAGACGCGCTTAAAATGCTTCGAGCATTTTTAGGGGCGAAGCTCCTTAGGGTCTAACCTTGTCCGTCCGTCTGTCCGTCCGGTCGGCCGGCGTCCGTGCTCACATAAAAAGAAAAAAAATGTTTGCGCAGTCGACAGGATTCGAACCTGTGCGGGGTGGATTTCTAGTCCATCGCCTTAACCACTCGGCCACGACTGCGGGACGAGTAGGGGGCTCTGAGATGTGGTAGTAACTCAAGAGCTGGGGTTTCTGTCATGGATGAAACGTTGCATGTAGCCGCTCAAAGTCTATACAGGAGAGGGCGCTGCGGTCAAATGCGTATATAATCGCGTTAATCGTTGCATGCATTGGCTCAACGTTTATAGACGAAAGGGCGCTGCGGTTAAATGCTCAAATGCGTATATAACCACGTTCCATACCACACATCCTCTTTCTGACATGGACCATTAACTTAAGCGGTAGAAATGCGTTCCCACGGCTTCTAGCGGATCCAAGCTGATCCGCTAGAAGAACCACTGGCTCTGCATTTCAGCGACCCTAAAGCAGTAATAATGAAGTCGAAACGCAACCCGGAACTCAGCACTACCTATGAGCAATAAAAAAAAAAATATCAGCACCATCAGCACCACCTATGAACAATAAAGTCAGTATCATCAGCACCACCAGAGCTTCGCCCCAATCAACATCATTCACCACGTGGAGATGCCGTCTTTTTTTTTATTCGCTTTGTAAATACTTGAAAGCAAGTACTGGTATCCTGTCTTTTTAAATTGCTTGGAATAAATGGTTATGTTCCTTGTAACGGCCTTAAAACGCGAACCCATTGCCGACTTCTTTTTCTCGACATACCGTTGCGCGACGAGTTTTCACCTACTCATGGCAAAGAATGGACTTTCCGTAGACCGTACTATAGAGTTCTTCATAATAAGCGGGAGCATTTGCCGTCACGTCGAGCACAGATTGAGCTGGCGGCCATGCACAAGACCAGAAATCCGCAGCCTATGCGATACACGAAAAGTCCCTAATGAAATTAGACATCCCGGTCCTTCGTGCAAGGCTGTTGCAAGGCGGAGCACAAGAATTCCAGTTTAACGCGCTCACTGTTTTCGTTAAAACGGCTTCACGCATCAAGGCCGACAGTCCCTGCTACCGGTTCCGCGCCGCCGCTGCCGTGCGCGCTACTCTGGTTCTCCATTCGTCCGCGGGAGGGCGAGCGGCGCGCTGGAGTTGCGAATAGATCTTTCCAGCGGCAGTCTCGAACGAAGCGATTTACAGCGCGCGTCCCTGGTTTTGAGAGGGTACGTTGGTGTTGCTCGACTGCGCTGGGCTGTGGGTTTTCTCGTCAAAGGGTTGCGGCAGCCTGCGTGGGTGCAACTACGGACGTTGATGGCGGTTAAATTAACGCATTTTATTGTTTAATTTGCGTTGTATTGCGATTAGAATTTCTCCAGGTTTTTTTTTCCCGAGACATATTTTCGGAAACAAAAACAAACAAATTAAATTAATTTTTGCGAGTTTGTGCGCAACAGAACAAATACAATTGGCATGTTTGTTTCATTTTATGGTGATTTTTTATTACGCGATACACTCAGCCGTATTGATCTACAAAGGTCCTAACTGCCGAAAGTATTGACCACATTGGATGGCCGAAATGCATGGGTATTACACGCTCACAACACGAAATTCAAGGAGTCTGTTCAATCGGACAACAGAGTGTACCTACCCCAGGGTGCAGCGTTATCCGAACAGGATTTATTTGAGAAAGATCTAAAAAAACACAGCATGTCCCTTATACCGTCTGGACGAGTCACTTCCCGAAAATCGGACTTAAGCCGGCTTGTCTTTGGGCATGAGAGCTGCTTTTTTGCACAACACCAAAACAAATGGACGAACGTGTCTATTCAGTCCACATACCCCGGACCCTATCAGCTATTTTTAACGAAGATCGAAAAGGAAAAATGTTCTGAGATTGCCTCGACGGAAATAATCCTCGATGGACGTCGAACGGGCCACGTCGCGGGCTCTTGGACGTTCGCTCTCTTCGTTTGTTTCCTGCGAAGGCCAAGCAGGCTACGGGCCCTGGTATTCCCTGGCTCTCACAGTGGAAGATAACGCAGGAAGGGCAGATAGCCCTGAACAGGCGAATATAGTAAAAACTTTCAGAAAAGACTGCGAACTCCGAATGCACAGTGCAGGTGGGGAGTCACGCTGACTGGGTTTCCACAGCTCAGCTCGGTTGGATAATTTTCTGGCTGACAGGGGCCGCCCGAGTAGCAAGATGGCGGCGGCCAGAGAGCTATTTTTGCAAAGATCTACACGGCGCTTATCTGGTTGTTAATGATGAAAGAAATTAAAGGCAGCCCCCGAGCGGAAGCCAAGAAGCTTTACTCTATCCGAGACGTCATCACAGTCAACGCACGAACAAAAGTGCTGCACCGGTGCTTATTTTGGAATCGGGTCTAGTCAATATTTGGGCACAAAGTTTGCTCTATTGCCCCTTGATGACGGATATTTTATGAAGGGGTTTACGGGTCGGCGTTTCTTTCTTGGAAATTCTTTCGTTGACATCATCTAAAATAAATCGAGAAATAACTATGAGGTATTGAGTCCATTTTGATCTGGCCTTGACGTGCGAAAGTGATGGTCCGAATTGAAATACATATTTATGACCTCCATTAGTGCCGCGAATGTTAAACGTATGTTTGAGCAACCAGATGGCACTGAAGTTTGAAAAGAGTATATTTCGTAATGCACAAAAGCTTATAAGTATCAGCATGCTAACACCGAGCAACATCGTATAAAAAGCCCCTATAGTATTTACAAAAAAAAGAAAGACGTTTACGAGTCTCTGTAATGCGAAATTAGAGCGCTGCTCTTGAGGAGGAGGAGGAGAGGGTACGGAGTGGAGGATATGCCCTCCTCCTCCTCCCCTCCTTTCCTCCTTCAGAACCTCTCCTCCTCCTTTTCCCTCCCCTCCTTCTCATTTCACCCTCCTCCTCTCCCCTCCTCCTCCTCCAGCTAAAGTTAGCTGGAAAATTGATGCCATTGAAACCTCGATGAGTCACTTCCCGCTTAATTTGAGGTTTCAATCAATGGCCTGTTCAGGCCATTGATGGAAACCTCAAACACCTATTCAATTCCCCCGCTAAATTTAGCGGGGAAAATGACGTCACATGGCTTCGTGTCACGTCACCTATGAACAAATCCAGTTCCGTCGCTAGATTTAGCGGGGAAACCGACTTCATGTGACCTCAAACACCAATTCAATTCCTGGCCAAATTTAAGGGGAATCGAATTGCTGTTGAGGTCGATTGACGTAAATTCCCCGCTAAATTCAGCAGGGAATTTAATTGAGGTCGCATGACATCAACTTTCCCGCTTAATTCAGAGGGAAAATTGCTGCTGAGGTCACGTGACGTCAGTTTTCCCGCTAAATTTAGCGCGGTCACGCCGACGCTGACAGCGACGCCGACGGCGACGCCGCAAAACACGGAAACGGGCGCTTAAGAGCTGCGCTCAAAAACTGGCAGTTTCACTTTCTAGTGAATATAGTCAGTGACCGGTGTTCAGGGGGAGCTCCTCCCAACTCTTTCCACTTTGGTAGAGCTGAAGGGAAGGTCGCCTCCTCTCTACCGTCCGCTCGTCTAAAGTGGGGCTGAAGGATTCTTAAAGGGGCAACGATATACAGTTGGAATGTTTTTTTTTTTTTTAACTTTACGAGAGCTTACCGGCGCTAGTGAGACCCAAGGACGCTCGCACGCAACGCTATTGACCCAGAAATCTCTTTGTAGTTTTAAGAATAAAAGCGTTTTATTTCAATATCTCGTTCGCAAAATTTGATGACACAGTTTGGAGGTCGCCGTGTCCTCCAGTGGTGATATTTGAATGCGGCTCATAGATTGGGCTCGCGAGAATCAATAGCTCGACAAGCATTCCAGTAGTGGCTCGTGCCAAATCGCTTTAATGACGACAATAACCGAGCCCGAACTATGTCTGACACCCAGCGCGTGTCATGTGCTTTGCCCACCCCAACGCGTAGCAACGATAAACATTGGCCGCATATCTTCGGCTCCAGATCTGATGGCCGCTTGTTCTGGCTGCGAGTTGAGGAGAAAAACGCTGCTCGTTTTATTTTTTATGCGACTACCATTGCACGATGAGAAAAGCTAACGCTTATTTCATGGTTTGTCAACGTCGGACTAAAGACGCTTTACACACGCGCCAGGTTAGAACCGCCATTGTTGTTGTCTTACTCAGATACTGAGCCCCTGAAACGGGCGTTTTGCGAGCCTCCGCAAAGGCCAAAGCTGGGGACAAAGTAGAATCAAGCGTGCCAATAACCTGGCCTGCAAGGGTAACGATGACGTGAAGTAGACGAAATAAGAGGAAACTAAAACTGAAAGTCAGTTGGGGCGGCGCCCATGAGCAGCTGCTGTAAAGCGTCTATAGATTAGCGCAGTTGTGGAACTCTCGCAGATGGTGTACGTACTTACCTCGCCCTCTTCAGCCCGCCTTCCGTCCTCGAAAGCGCTCTATAGATTTTCGTTTCAAAACTGTGTGTTCTATAAAGTGCGCTGAAAGGCCACCTAGACGCTGCGCTTCAAGACATACGTATTTGATAAAACACACTGCAGTTATCATAGCAGCTATCCTTAAAACAATGGCGCGTTGAGCGACGGGACGAGGACCGTGGAGGAAAGGTTGGGGGGAGGGGGGGGGAACACTGCTCGTGAAAGCAGCGTTGACGGGAAGCTTCGTAAGTGAGCTAATCTTTGCCTCACCTCATGAGGTCGTAGAGCATATCGACTGTCCCGTTTCGAGTCGGGTCTAGAAGCTCCTTTTGGTCTCCCGTGGCGGCAAGCTCGACCGAGTGTCCCGGCTGCATGAACAGCGCCACGAGCACTGAGACTCCTTGGGCCATCAGCTTGGTGAGCAGGCCGTAAACGAGCGCCCGGCGTCCGACGCGGACGGCCAGCGGAAGGTCCATGGAGCCCATGGTGGCGATGACGCTCGATGTCATCAGCGGTAGCACGGCTTCCTGGAGCATCCGAGTGAGGAGCTCACCCGGGAACTTCAGGTACATCAGCTGGGCCCGCCGGGGGAAACAAGCTGAGGCTCGCGAACCCAAGCTGCGCCTAGTATACAGCAGGTCGCACGGCTCGTTTTTCTACGTGGCCTACAAGCGGTCAGTAGAGGGCACAGATTAGCCCCGAGTGCTGCGTCAACGTTTGGATGTGTTCTTGATCAGTGAACACGAGTCCCCAGCCGCATGCTAACGTCGAACAAGTCACGTACAAGCGGCCAGCCACTCTGGTCACTTTTAGGTGGCGCAGTTAGCCCAGCGCTACGGCCTTGCTATCTTGAAAAATGTTGAACCCGCACGATCCCCGAATTCGCTGGTATATTGCCATTTATTTTAAAATAGCGCGAAAAAGGGCGGGACAAAAAGACGAAGAAGCACACAGGACAAGCGCTAACTGGCAACTCAAGTTTATTGAATGCTTCCAACTTTGCTATCGCCGTGCATGCGCGTAATCTGGTCTCAACAAAAACATGACGTTCCGCCAAATCAATAGATATAGCCCGCCCAACGCATATTCAAAAGGTTAGCGAAACAGCTACATCACCCTTTCGCAGAATCCGAACGCGGAAAGGAAAAAGTGCCTTGTTAATATTTAGAAGCTAGATAGTGTTAATAAAACTATACTCTTTCGGTTGCATATACACGGATGCGACGCTGACGCAAATGTTTTTGTCGCAAGCATGTATATTTGCCGCCTTCGGCAACTCTCTTTCGAACTTTGTTGCGTCCCTCCGCCTGCGCACCGTGCAGCATGGGGGAACAACCACAATGTTGGAAGCATTCAATAAACTTGAGTTGCCAGTTAGCGCTTGTCCTGTGTGCTTCTTTGTCTTTTTGGCCCTTCCTTTGTGCGCTATTTTAATATGAATGGCAATTACCAACTTGCCCACCAGACCAAGCTTTTACAATACATTTGGTATACTGCCCCCGCAATAGCCTGCCAAGTGAAAACTGAAACGTCCGCGAACCTGTGCCTAACAAAACGGATAAAAGCAAAATATTTCCTCTCGATGCAAAGGTTGTAGCTTTGCAGCCAGAATAAATATTTTGCATCCAGAGGAAATATTTTGCATCTTGTAGCACGTCCAGCACGCCGCTGCTGGACGTGCTTGAACGCATGAAGCACCAGGAAAAACGCAAGGCTTGCAAACGTTCACTGGACGCGATATTTGTGGGTGCTGTTTAGAGCGCATGCTCAGAAGTATGTCACATTAATAGGTTGCTAAGAGCGGCAATCTTGATGGTGTGGAATGCAAGTAGCAAAACAATTGTGGGCAGTTTGATACTTTAGACCCATGTTACGGATAAAAAAACCAGAACGCGAATGGTAAAAAAAAAAAAAAAAAACGCATTTTTTGTGTAATAGGTTGCCCACACTAGCGAGAAAACGCGCGTGGCACGCCGATCGCGGGAAGACGCGTCCCGCATCCTGAAGACCACACCAGATAGAGTTCTGCCGCCGCGAATGTCGCGTGACAGCACAGGAGGCCTCGCGCACTCTTGAAGCATTCGAGCGAACGCATGATTTCCCGCAAGATCTCGAGGATTCTCGAGGCAATCGGACGGGCGAGGGACGCTTTTGCTCGCCGAAGATCGAGTCATGACGCGATCAGCGCGCCGCGCGCGTTTTCTCGCTAGTGTGGGCGGCCCTTATTGGCGACGTGAACGATCAAAAGCGTCGCTGCGGTCGGCCCACCACAATTGGCCGAATGCTGACTATGACGTCAGCAAAGGATTTCTCATCGACGCAAATAAGAGGAATGTAAGAACTTCAACTTTGACGGTGTTGGCAGTGTTGCTTTGAGAGCGCTATGATTTCAGGCTTTCACCATGCTCATTACAAACACCATCGAACTTCTTGTTCACAAGGTAATGACGTCACGAAAGGTAACCAAACGAGGGCGCCACCGAAACATCTCGCCGCTAGTAGCCTAGTTCACATGCAGCGGTTTTGGCCCTAGAGCGGCGCGATTTCTGCCGTCGCGGCGCTCTGGCCAGCCCCAGCGGTTGAGCGGCACGAGCGCCGCGACGGCAGAAATCGCGCAGCTCTAGGGCCAAAACCGCTGCATGTGAAACACGCTTAAGGCTCGTCAAATTACGAGGCGCTGGAGAAATGCAGCTTTCTGCGTTAAGTCCTTATTTAGAACTCTTTTTTTTCGCCTTCCGCCCATTAAAAAGCATGCGGGAAGGGCCTCAGAAGGCACCTGGTATAGGGCCGCCCACACTAGCGAGAAAACGCGCGTGGCACGCCGATCGCGGCAAGTAACAAAATGTCGCCGAAGCACAGTCAGCGCCACGAGCGCGTGCAGAGACACGCCCTTTATCTTCCCGCTTAACCGATTTATCGGCGCGCCGGGCGCGTTTTCTCGCTAGTGTGGGTGGCCCTTATCGCTGCGCCCCAGCGTTCTTCCGCAACATGAAGTTCGTCTGCTTTCCTCGCGGTCACCATGGCAACGAACGCCGAATGAATGGAAGCACGCACAATACCGCCGCGTGAAGCCAGCAGCAGCTGACGCCATTTTACGAACGCCGTCTGCTAGCAAAAGCCGAACGCGGTGCGTCAGATCAACCGCCTTTGCCGGTGCGCCGCTGGCAAAGACGGCGAAGCTGAGACACGCCAACGGCGATAGAGCAAGCAACAGCACCGCGGGACAACGGCAACGGCAGCATTTATTGGGATCAAAGGAGCGAAATAAGTAAGGACGATTTTTTTTTAATCATAACACGCGATATCCAAGTTGGGGCCACATACCTTTGCCGGGTCTTTCCTGCGAACTTTTTACAGAGACTCGGGGTGCCGCATTCAGAAAACAGCTCCGTTTGCAAAATATGGGGGTCCTGAAAAGGGCCGTTTAGACAGCTACCCAGAACCTATGCGGAGGGCAAGTTCGTCTGCTCCTTGCGCAGGGGGTAGCGGTGACGTCAGAACGCCGGGCCCTGATTGGCTGATCGAGCCCCCCTATCTGAGCGTCGTCTGCTTCTTTGCAACGTCGTCTGCTCGCAACGTCGTCTGCGTCTGTCTTACGTTTCCTGCGACTTTCGGAAGTGCAGAGGCCAGATTCACGAAACGATCTTACGCCAAAAATGTGCGTAAGACAAAACTTAAGAACAAATTCGTATTCACGAAACGAAATTTTCGTAAGTTTTGCGCAGGTTACGGCGAAATCCTACGACAGCTCCGAAGCTGTCTTACGCACTTCTTACGATCAAGTCAGCATGGCCGACAGCGTCGCGGTCGCGACGACCCACGGACGTTTATTTTTCTACGTGAGCTTCTCACGCGTCCTGACTTCAAGCAGCAAACAAAAAAAAGTAAAAATTACTTGAAACAGAGCACGACGAACAAGAACGCTGGATCCACAGACACCGGGGAAAAGCTCCAACGGCGACGATTCCACCGAACGCGACCAAACGAGCTGGGCAGTTAGGCCTAGCAGGCACTCCGCGACTCGGCGACCGTCTGCCCACGACCGGCTGACGTGCTGAATGGAATATGCCCGCGCGACCCTTGTGAACCCTTCCCGTGTTATACTTTGATCGCTGACCTCAATTTTAGATTAAGAGGTCAATTTCTTCCTCTTGTTATCTCCTTGTTTCCCGAGGCAACGGTGACTCTCGCCGGTGAAAAAGCGGCGAATCTCCGACAGACGCAGGAAAGGTAAAGCAGCCATCGCTTTGACTAGCAGACGTAAAGCAGACGACGTTAACTGCGCCAGCCCGCCGGCGCCGTTAAAGAGTGAGGGGTCGTATTTGGGAGGGAACTTGCGGACACTAAGCAAACAAACCTCGGCGCCCCGGGACACCTCGCCAGTGAGTCCTTTGACTTCCCTCCTTGATGCGCGTCTGCTAGTTGTTAGACGAAAACAACGTACCGCTCGAGTTATTTCGACTGCCCTCCCTTAAAGGCCAAGTCGAGTTCGCTCCGAAAATCGCAGGAAAGGTAAGACAGACGCAGACGATGTTTCGAGCAGACGACGTTGCAAAGGAGCAGACGACGCTCAATAGGGGGTCGCGATCAGCCAATCAGGACTCGGCGTTCTGACGTCACCGCTACTTCCTTTCTCATGCGCAGAAGACAAAAATGAGCCCACTTGCGAGGCGTATAATTGACGCAACGATCATTTGACAAGCGGTAGGAGCTTAAAGGCCGGTTCTCACATGCAGCGAAGCGCTGATGTAGCGCTCCTCACGTGCCATCAGCTACTTATCGTATGCCATGAGCAACAGTTTTGACGGTGCGATACAAAGCTGGTGAACGCTGCCGTCAGCACGCGCTTAGCGCGAGGTTAGCGCTATGCTTGTAGCGCTCCGCTGCATGTGTGAACGGGCCTTGAGTCTTCTTTATGCAGGCAGGCGGGCGACGGGCTCAGCGTAGCGGATCACTCGAAGTCACCGGGGCCGTCAGAATCCTCGCCCTGTCTGCGTCGGGGCTCTAGATTTTGGCGGCCGCGGCGACGAACGACTGAAATCTATCAGTGTTTCCGCGCGCCTTCTCTCTCCTCCAAAACATGAACTTTGCAAGGTGACCAGTGAAATGGTGGCTCTCGCGCTGTCCAGATGGAAGAGAATTTTTGACGTGGGCCCAGGTGCCCTCCACCGTATTGGTGTGCGCACCAGTGTTCGGGTCGACAAAGGGCAGCTTGTGGTTAACGGTGAGGTGCGTGAAGCGAGCGTCATCTGCAAGCTTGCGATAGCCAGCCCAACAGTCAGTGATTATTCTTGTTCCAGGGCGGACCCACTCGGCTATTAGCCCTTGCAGGGTTTTAGCGTCAAGGGTCTCCACGGAAACAAGAAAGCAGCACCCGCTGCCACACTCCACACCGCCGACAACCCACTGGCCAGGCCTTAAATACCCGCAATGGTACTTTCGCCACCCGAACATACTCTCATCCAGGGACGGATGCAGGAATGTCTGGAGAGGGGGGGGGGGGGGGGGGGGGGGGGGGGGGAGTCAGGTGTTGGTAAAGGGGTATTCACACGAGGGAGAAATCCCGGGGATT